GACTACTACCTCTCTGTCAACGACATATTCGACAACCAACACATCACCACAATTGTTAATTTCGCTATAACCGCACCAAACGCTTAAACATGCCGGAAGAGCTGGATCAGACTGGGGTGACTTAGAGTACTAACTCATTTGCTGTCTCGTCTCTGATTACTCTTCCAAACCTAGCTGGCCTGGCATTTAAGCGTATTACTTTGAACCATGTCACTCTATAGACCATCCTCCACCAGTCACTCTGATTTCACCGGCAACCTCTCACAGGGTTGCCACACCCCAGAGGTAGGCAGAGCATCTCAATGCTATCCTTTCATGGGCCATCTCGGTCCAGCCTCTCTTTTAAAACCCCCCCCCCCCCCCCCCCCCCCCCATGACGTAGGGTAAAATTAAAAATGCTTCCCTGCCCTGGAGAGTTATGGGCAAATAACCGTTTTGGTCACGTGACAGGCTAGTAAAACATGAATTTGATTGTTTAGGGCTCGGGTTATGGTTAGGGTTGTGATTAAGGTTTTTTAGGGATTTAAGGTTACAAAAAAATTTATGTAAAACCGTTTTGTACGGCTGCAAAGCCAAAACCATTAAAAATTAAGTCACGTAAAATTTTTTATATTTGGGCGAGCGAATTATAGTAAAGCCTTAGGGTTGTGGTATAGACTTGTATAGTAGTACAGGTTAGGTGTTAGGGGTAGGGTTGGAATAAGGGGTTTTTTAAAACCGTTTTGTTTGCGGCGACATCTAGCTATAGCACTAGATTGTAAATAGCTCCTACTTAGCAACACTTAGCAACACTTATATTAGCATGTAAACACGTGATTACAATATTATATTTATAGCAGTTCCCAAAAAATCTTACTTACCAGGGCCAAACTTCAAAAGTTCACCTAACCATGTGCTTTCGCGCCACTTCGGGCGCGCGCGCTTGTTTCACAAGTCAAGAAAAGCACATATCCACGAACCCCGATGGGAAGGTTCGTGCGCGCGTGCGCAGTGCTGACAACAGCGTCTATGTAGCGCAGGTAGTCTTGGCACTTCTCCCTCCAGTATGCAGTAACCACTTTTCAGGTTTCTATATAATAATAGTGCATAGTGACAGTGTATAGGGGATAATTAGGTATAAACTACAGTACAGCTGTACTTACACTTACATTCACAAGCATGCAAGCTCACCTGGTCCAATGAGCGGGAAACGGAGGACAAGTTCTGGTGACATCATAGTCACGTGACCTCATAGGCTCATAATCACGTGACCTCAGACCCAATCAATGATTAATTAGGTTCGGGCATGGCCAGCCCCCTGTCACCCGATCTTGAGGTGACGTACGACACCTCGTTTACGCAATCAATGTCTGAAAGGCTACACACGTCGCATATGAGGACAAAAGCGCGGGTAATTTTGGCACCACTGTATAGTAGAGTGGTGCCAAAATCGTTGGGTGGGTTGATGGTTGATGGATAGAGCCCTTTTTACCGCCGTGAGGCGGGCGCGCGCTACTGCAAGCGCAAGGGCTCTGGATAGAGTAACTTCAAAAGTAAAAGAAATAGCGACATCCGGTTTTTGCAACATGTTCATTTCGTAAGTAACGTCCCTCAGAAAAATCTCATTTTGGGCCGATCAAAAGTTTGCAACTCTAACTTTGATTAACAATTAACTTTTTGCGACACTTTACGTAACATGTATCAACACTTTGCAAATTTCGGTACTCTGATTGGCTGTCACGTGCTAGCTGATTGAACATTGAAATGCACCACGCGTTGCTCTAACCAGAGCCCTCTCGCTTGCAGTAGCGCGCGACCGCCGGAGGCTACTTGTGAAACAAGCGCGTCACGCAGTACGCGTAGGCACATGGCTATGTGAACACCACGCGTGCAAATCATGCTTAATGTCGCTGCGCGCGAGCTCAACTGCTCAAGCCGTCTGTTTACATTAAACCGCCTCATAGACGGATGTTACTCGTTTAAACTTCTTCGAAGTAGCGCGCCCGATGGCAAGTGCTACGAAGTAGCGCGCGCCGGGCCTGCAATCATTAACAATGGTCAAGTTTACAACCTACCAGTCCAAGACGCGCGCCGAGTTGGACTCGTCGACGGTATATGGAACAGATATTTTACGAGTATCACCCGTTAAGGAAATTTAAGACGACGTAGATTTTGAGTTATCTCAAATCTTTATTATGCTTAATATGAACATAATAGTCTGGGGCTCCCAGGTAACTTCTAGTAACACCGCCAGCCAGTAACTTTTGCTGGGGTAGATTGGCCTGAAATGCACCACTGGGCCTCGCGCGCACAGCCACGGATGATTGACATCGTGAATCAAATCCAGGAAAACTTACTGGCCAGAGCCTACCTTTAAAAGTAAAAGAAATAGCGACTTCCGGAATTTCGATTTTTTTTGCAAAATATTCTTTTTGTAAGGGGTCGTTCACATATTACGTAATCAGCCGAGGGGAGGGGGGGTTCCAAATGCTTACGGTTGATTACGGGGGGGGGGGGGTTTCGGCCGTTGATTACGTAATCAAAATTTTCTTTTTTACCCTCTAGAATAATAACAATTTCACAATATTTTAATTCAAATTCCACTCAATTTCACTCTGATAGTGATAAAATTTAGAAATTGATCGAATATCCGGCTATAGTAGTAAGTAGTTAAAAAGGTGATTGGCCAGATATCATAACAATAATTTCGGCTCATCATGATAGCATGATCAGGGTAACATGAAACGTAGAGAAGAGTGTTTTCTAGGAAAAAAAAGTCAAGGGGGGGGGGTCAGGCCATGATTACGTAATATTTTATTATTGCTGTCAGGAGGGGGGAGGGGGTAAAAATTGCTAAAATATTGATTACGTAATATGTGAACGACCCCTAAAAATAACGTTTCCTCCCCAGGAGGAAAATTAAGGACATTGTAGATTTTGAGTTGTATCAAAATCTCCTGCAGAAAATTCTTATTTTGGGCCGAAAAATGTGATCCTTCAATTTTGGTACCAAAAGTTGCACCTGACCAAACTGATTAAATGACAATCCTACAAAAATCATTTCAAAAGGCATTTAACGCGAGAAATTATCAATTTTTTTCAATTTTACACATTTGTAATGCACAGGAAGCCCATTTACAACTTTTTTAATCGTGTTGCAAGGTGATTTTGTATTTTCAATTTTAATTATTCACCCTTAATATAAGGGCAACTTTTGGTGCTAAATTTATCCAAATTTAAGAAATGCAAAATTATTGATTATGGCGCTTTTTACATGAACTACCTTTATTTTCAACGAGATAATTTAAACATAATATGCAAATAATTTAGAATTCCCTCGAATACATTATTAGCTATATGATATCATCACCAGGTGTCTGATTAATCATTATTCAAGCAACCACTGAGCTGGACTGCCAAAGCCCTGTTGTGCCAAAGCCCTGTTATGTTGGGCGTTGGCCCATTTAGGTTTTCTTGTTGTTCTCCATCCTCAGCTTTGGTTAAGTAAATTATACTAAGTTTGTCGACCATGTTTTTAAAATTAATTAATTCATCAATTTCTTGTTTCGAGCATTTGCATTCATAATTATAATTTTGTTCATTTTGATCTATTGTAACCAATTACTTAAAAATCACCTCTCATGGAGATTAAAAACTACAGTTTTCATGATTGGACCAACCATTCAACCAGTCGTTTTCTATCATTGTATAAAAGAAATCTTGAATTTGTCTGATGTTTGTACTTTACCCTAGTGAAATGAAGTAAGGTGAATGTCTGGACTGTTAAGATCGTCATTTGGCTTTCATGTAGATGACAACTTTTGCAGATCCAACACTCTTTGATAGAAGGTGTTTGTGACCCTTACTTATGAAGCAGTTTGGACACGCTTTTGAGATTTGCTCTGGCTTGTATATGGTTAGGTGCAACGACCAGTATAAACTATAGTATGTCTAGAACACATAAAAGCTTATCGTATTTGGGAGCAAATGTTGGAATTCAATCCCAGTGAACATAAGATATATAGAATGTACTGCCAAATTTTCACAATGTATAAAATCCTCATTTATGTTGGATGTAGTAAATGGTATCTCATCATATGGAATAAACAATAGTTTTGACTATTTCTACACTCCAGCTCTGTGACAACAATAAGATGTTTTGGATTCTTTGATGAGATAGCAGGGTCCCCTGTGTATAAGTGCATTACTGACCAAACAAAATAAAATTCACAAAATTTGTATTTAAACTTTATTAAAAAAGAAGTATAGAACTGTATGCCTCTCTTACTTTTAACACTACCATGACCAACCTGTTGTCATTTTACTCTAAAATGGTTTTATATACATCTCCAAAATTGTTATTCTGTAAATAATTGTACATAATTCTGACGAAATATCAAAGTGGGTATTGTATATATATATTTATTCCATTTTTGTAATAATTTAATAGTTACCTTCATGCCCACAGTTCAATGTTTTAACCCACCATACCACCTGTTACCACTATAGCAGCCTTGCTAGCTCTTCTCTCATTTGTCATTGTTGCTATATCAACAGCTTAGGTTCAGGGACAAAAGGATTTCGCGGCATGTACGAAATCGCGAAATTTTCCATTCTCCGCGACAAATTTTATGTGTAGTTTAATGTATAGCCTGTTAAATTTCGCGGTACCGCGAAATTTGGCCAAAATAATCGTGAAATCCTTTTGTCCCTGCTTAGGTTTAAGCCTTGAAGACTGAAGTGATTGAAATTGGTTCATCTTGACCAGGCAGCATCTAAACATCCAATTTCAATACTTTTTTAGTTAACGTTAATTTTATTGTACTACTCCTGATCCTAACTGCACTGTTCAGATAAATCTACTTACATTGCATCTACTCACGTCTTACATTATACTTCCTTATGTTGCATACCCTAATTTAGTTATTTCAAATATGGGTTTTAAGTTACAGGTATTATCATGATGTCACCATGCCCAGGAATATCTATAGCTTATTATTTAATTAATCATCAACATAATAAATACCTTATTAGGTATGAAGTCAAAGAGCTTAGAGATTCCTTTGCGGGACACGGATGAAGTTATTGAACTTGACTTGGAACAATTGCCGGAGGGAGAAGAGATTCTTGGAATCCTGCGGACTGAAAATGTTCCTTTACACATCTGGCTTACTTTAGCAAAGCATTATTATAAGCAGGAAAAAATGCATGACTTTGTGCTGCTTCTTGAAAACTGTCATAAAGATGCTGCAACTGACTACCGCGAGCAGGAGAAAGATAAAATGCTTGCCTTGGATACTTTGGCTGCTCATTATGTAAGTCTCGGCAGAAAAGAGAAAAATAAAGAAGCCAGAAAGAAACACTTTGGAAAAGCTACCTCCTTGTACACACAAGCTGATAAGATCATTATGTATGACCAAAACCATTTGGTTGGTAGGGCTCACTTTTGCCTTCTTGAGGGTGACAAGACAGATCAGGCAGATGCTCAGTTCAACTTTGTGTTGGCTAAATCAGAGAAACACATTGCAGCTAATATGGGTAAAGCCTGTATTTTGTTCAATAAGAAAGATTACAAAGGTGCATTGGGACACTTCAAAAAGGCACTAAAAGGCAATGACAACTGCCCTGCTTCAGTTCGTTTAGGCATGGGGCTATGCTTTTATAGACTTGGGAACACAGAGAAAGCCCAGATTGCTTTTGAGCGTGCCTTGGAACTTGATCCAAGGAGCACTGGTTCGTTGATTGGTTTAGCAATACTGCATTTGAATTCTGGTGACAAAGATAAGCTGATCAAAGGAGTAAAACTTTTGTCACAAGCTTATGGTATAGACTCTGCTAATTCAATGACTTTGAACCACCTTGCCAATCATTTCTTCTTCAAAAAAGACTATCAAAAAGTTCAGCATTTAGCCCAGCATTCGTTGCAAGGAACTGAGGTTGAGGTGATTCGGGCAGAGAGTTGCTATCAGTTGGCTCGATCATATCACAATCAGCAGAAATATGACCAAGCATTTCAGTACTATTATCAGTCCACTCAGTTTGCTTCCCCATCATATGTTTTACCACACTTTGGGTTGGGGCAAATGTACATATTCAGAGAAGACTATGCAAATGCTGCACTATGCTTTGAAAAGGTACAGTTTTCTGCATGGTCATGCAGATTTTCTCAATTTACAATTCCAATATCTTTTAGCCATGAAAATCGTTTCCTTATCATTGATGGATGGCTTTTAGACTAACAATTTGCTTTTAATCATAAAATATAATTTATTTAATTAAATGTATCCTTCAGGTGTTGAAGATTCAGCCTAACAACAACGAAACAATGAAAATATTGGGCAGTCTGTACAGTCAAAGTGACGACAGTGACAAAAGAGATCAAGCAAAGATTCTCCTTCAAAAGGTTTAAAATAATTTAAATATTTAAACACTTAGTTTCCTGAATTTGGATTTTTTTAGTTTAGTTACTTTTGATGTGATTTAACGTTGGTCAACCAGCAATCAGCATGAATTTGATAATTATGCTATAATTATGCTAATTATGATAAAATATAGTAGTAGTAAATCTTTCAAAGTACGAAATATCTCTTTAAAAGAGCATCCTAGGCACCTTATAGATATCAAAACGCATAAAAAAGAAAACAAAAAACATCAACCATCTTCTAACTTCTTCCACTCCTCCCTATCTAAAGCTAAAAATCTAAGGTCTTCGAAATCAGTCAAATTCTTAAGTCTAATATCAAGATTTCTACTAGTCAAGTCTTTTCTAATAACATCTAATAAGTTTAAACATGGTCTACCCCGTCTCCCTTCCATAAAAATATCAGAATTTATAGCAAATAACATAGAGGTGTATGCTGGTGAGTCTTCCTGTCCTCTTAAGATATGTCCTAACATTCTCCATCGAAACTTATAGACTCTCACAGACAAGGGAGTGACATAACAACGAGCATAGAGTGCCTCATTAGAAATAACCCCAGTAGGCCATCTGATGTTGAGGATTCTTCGGAGGTGTTTGCGATGAGCAATATCAAGTTCATTCAACGAAGCTAGTGGTGCAGCCCAGGAGTTGCAGTTGTAGAGTAGAATAGAGACTACTTGTGCCTCGTAGATTTTGATCTTCCTTTGGACTGAAATCTTGCTCTTCATCCAAACTTTCTGAAATTTACTAAAGGCAACATTACCAAGGAATATTCGATTCTTGATATCCTTAACAGTGCACATCAACGATCCTAAAGTTTTGTTAGAGCGCCACTCTTCATCACCTCTATACACTTTTCCAAACAATCACCTTGCGTTTAACAGTGGGTTTAGGATCTGCTAAATAAAAATGGACAAATGATAAAATATATTTTTATTTAAATATTTAATAATTTAAAAGTAATAAATCCGTTCCTGATTAACGTTGCCTGATTGTCTTTAACGCACATTTCATTCAGGTGACAACTCAATGTCCTGAAGATATTGAGGCATGGATTGAACTTGGCGGTATCCTACAAAACAGTGACGTGACAGAAGCATTGAACGCTTACAACACTGCTGCCCAGATCATTAGGGATAACGTCCATGTAGATGTCCCTCCTGAGATACTCAATAATATTGCTTCTTGTTTGTTTCAGCTGGGAAAATATGAGGTAAGTTACTGTAAGCTTCTAATTAAAGAACTTATTATATAACTTTATTCAAATCAAAAATAGAACATGAATGAACATCTTAAAGATCTGATAAGTAGCCAGAAAAAAATAAAAACTGATACACAAGCTATAACAACTTCTTCCATCCCGCTCTATCAGAGGCTAAAAGTCTTAAATTGTACAAATCGTCTGTATTTACAAATGGAATGTTCCTGCTACCTAAATCAAATTTAATAGTCTTAAGCAAGTTCGACTGGTGTCTACCTACTCTACCCTTTTTAGTACTCTGACTCTCTACTGCAAAGTGTAATGCAAGCTGTGCAGGTGAGTTGTTATCACTGCGAAGGACATGTCCGAGCATCCTCCATCGTGCACATATCATGCAACACGCTCACTGAGTGGAACCACTTCACATCTCTTGTAAAGGGTGTCGTTTTTGATTATATTAGGGTAAGTCATTCTGATGATTTGCCTCAGATGCTTTCTGTGGCAAATATCCAGTTTACTCAGTAGCTGCTTTGAAGCTGCCCAGCAGCTACAATTATACATTAAGACGGAGACCACCTGGGCTTCGTAGATCTTAAGTCTGGTCTTAAGAGGTATGCGTTTACCTTGTTCCCAAACTTTCTTGTAGGTTTGGAAAGCAAGATTTGCCAGAATACATCGTCTTTTTATGTCCTCGTTGCTGCACAATTTGGAACCAAGTGAGATAGATGATCTCCAGGGCTCTCTTCCTCAAAGTGGCTCTCCTTTGTCATCAACTTCGTTCTTCTCGGCCAGATAGATATGTGTGAACTCTGTTTTTGATTCGTTGACAAAAAGATTCCACTCCTCCAATATCTCCTTGCATATTGGTAACATGGACTCCAAATTCTTTTTATCCACGTCTGTGAAGTCTGCGTCGTCTGCGTACTCCCACTCAAGAGGTAGCAGGTTTTCAGCAAACGGAGGGTTGGGTCTTAGATAAGACATAAAGGCACGAAGGTGGTAAAGTGCGCCAGCCAAATACAGGGTGAAAAGGTTTCCAGACAAACTATCACCTTGGAACGCACCTATCGTGACAATGAACTCCCCTGATACGGTAGACCTCACTTTAATCTTCAGTTTGGTACATGAGAGTAGGTACCTTACCAGTCGGATGTCGTCTTCACTACAACCAGCATCAGCAAGAAGTTCTAGCAAAACTGATCTCTTAATGGTGTCGAATGCAGATGACATATCAATACCCATTTTGTGTAGAGACCAGCGTTTCTCCTTTACAACTGAAACTAGGATCCGTTGTGTCCAAACAATATTTGCACAGCTATGGCCAGGCTTGTAGGCATTTTGCCAAGGTCCAGTGTACTGAGAAACTTGTCTTTGAATGCGTCTAAGGACTATCATGGACAATATCTTCCTGGTGCCGTTTAAAAGACAAAGAGGGCGCAAACTTTTTAAAGGTCCACGTGGCTTACCAGGTTTTTGCAGTGGGGTAAGGAATCCTTCAGTGAATGAAGGTACATGTTCATGACGTTCAAAAGATTGATTGGTCAGTTGTGCAAATGTAGAATAGAAAATAGGTGGGGAGTGTTTAAGGAATTCGTTTGGTATACCATCAGGACCAACAGCCTTACCATTTCTTAGCTTTTTGGCAGCTTGTTCCACTTCAAAGGATGTTATGGGATTGTTTAGTGGCTGAGGACTGCCAACAAACGGCTCAAGTGGAGGTTCACTGTCTGGTCCTGTGTAGGGTTGCTCAAAATAGTTGCGTATAATGTCAGCTTTGTCACTCTCATTATCTACCAGTTGATTCTTGTCATTAAAAACAGAGATGGAGTCTGATTTCTTGTTACCTGATAGTTGCCGGACAGCTTCAAACATTTTACGGCCGTCGTCTGTATTATTGATAGAGTCTGCAAGACTGTTTGCAACTTCTATTCTGAGAGTATTCAGTCGCTTCTTAATGTTATTTGAGAGTTTGTTAATTTTTGATCTCAAGTCTTTTCTGTCTCTGTATTCATTATTATTCAGAAGTTGTAGCAATCGTTTTCTTTCCTCTGACATTTCAACAACTTCACTATCAGAAGAGTGGTGTCTCTTTTGCTGTGGCTCGCGTAGACCCACAGTGGAGATGGCAGCAGTCTCAATACTTTTAAATAGTTTTCCGAACTGTTGACAAGTATCATTAGAAGAATAGTCAGGTTCAGATACAAGTTGGTTGATATTAACAGTAAGTGCAGATTTAAACTGTTGTTGCGCTGCAATGCTACCTACAAGAGTGGTTGTGTTGAATGCCTTCTGAGTAGTCCTCTTCTTCCTGTAGAAACTATAACGCAGGGAAAAATCTGCTTTTGCAACTACAAGCTTGTGGTCACTGCGGTGCTTAGTTCCCGCATATGACCTTGCATCAGTCAGTAGTGCTTTGCTCCTGGACTTGCAAAGTATATAGTCTATCTGTGACTACAGTTGGTGTTTAGTGTTTACCAAAATATTTAAATTGTTCAACACATTATTGGTAAATAAGTAAAGCTTTACTCAATAAAGTAGAGTTTTGCAAAGTTTTGCTCAAGACAATCACTATCTACCTGTTTTCAAACAACTAAAAAACATTTCACCCTGGCAGGAGTGTCTGCAACACTACGAAACAGCACTGGATTACTGCAAGAGAGAGCTGCAGAATGACGAGGCTTACCTGAGCGCTATAACAGTCACTATAACTTACAACTTAGCCAGGCTCTACGAAGCCCTTCACGAGTTCGGAAAGGTTTGACTTTTTATTTAGTTGTTTCACGGTGGTATTGTAGACATTTTAAGCGATTTTATATATAATTATATATAATATAATTATATAGGGAAAGCTAGCACTTGAAACTGAAAATATACCAGTCTTAGTGTAATTTGTTATCGACATCCATGTGGAGTGTGGGGCGTGGGGAACACGTGGGGAACACGTGGGGAGCACGTGGGGAGCACGTGGGGAACACGTGGGGAACACGTGGGGAGCTCGTGGGGAGCACGTGCTGTATATCTATACCCATCTGGCGGGCTAAATTAAATTAATTATTAAGTTAAATCAACACTATATAACTTAAACACCACCCCAGGCGGAGGATTTGTACAAGGCAGTGCTTAAAGAGCATCCCAACTACCTTGACTGTTACCTGAGGCTGGGATGTATAGCACGAGATAGGGAGCAGATATTTGAGGCTAGTAACTGGTTCAAAGATGCCCTTCAGATAAACCAGGTAAGTACTTTAGTAGCAGAGTGTTATACTGTTATAGTGCACACTCAACTACACTCTGCTACTCTAGTAAAGGTGGTTATCTACTTTATATATCGTGGGGATGTAAATGAAGGGGACATAAGTTGAATTGTTACTGATAGCGAGATAGAGTTCATAAAAGATCAGTAAATCCAAAGTGTCAAATTTTAAAAAGAGCTCCTGATGCGAATCTCCATTTCCTAGGATAACGCTGATGCTTGGACGTTGATCGGAAACCTCCACATTTCAAAACAAGAATGGGGCCCAGGCCAGAAGAAGTTTGAAAGGATTATTAAGACGACCAATGATAAAGATTCTTACTCTATCCTCGCCATAGGTTAGTCACTTATCTGCAGATAAGTCAAATATGGGTATTTAACAGGGACGCTGATGTTACTTTCGAAGTTAGGTGCTTACTAAATAGTAAATGAATATTCATTTTACTACTATAGTAGTGTGCAAAAAGGGGGCTGGAATAGTAACTGTTCATGTTGAGTGTTATTGCATTAAGATAATAAGCCCTAACCCTGAGGGTATACGTTAGTGTGAACTTGAGTGGTGTACCCAAATTACAATTCTGTGTTGTTCAGGTAATGTGTGGCTGCAGATGCTTTACCAGCCAACCCGGGACAGGGACAAGGAGCAAAAGTACCAGGAGCGGGCCCTGGCCTTCTTTAAACAGGTCAACTTACACTTTATCTTATAATTAATTAGCTAATTCATTAGTTAATTAATTTAATAATTCATTGATTAGTTTATTGATTTTATAATTGATTTGTTAATCGGTTTTAAAAGGATGTATGAAGTTTCCTGACATGTGGGCATACATTGTAATTTATGTTGCCAAATTCCAAGAACTTTGGTACGTCCTGCAGAAGTTATAAAAAACGTAAAAAGAAATTTAAAAACTGAAACTGGTGCTGATAATTACCCTTCTGTACAGGTGCTACGACAGGATCCAAGGAACATGTACGCGGCTAACGGTATTGGCTGTGTGCTTGCTGTCAAGGGACACATTCGGGAGGCGCGGGACGTCTTTGCACAGGTGCCATATCTCAAGAAATATTACTTTAGAAGCTCAGTAGCTCGGTATCCTAAGTTGACATGAATTGATCATTTTTCAGTCGGCGCGTTAAACTAAGCATGAAAATACAATTAATTATTATTATTAATTATTTAGGTACGAGAAGCTACAGCGGAAATGCCGGACGTGTGGATTAACCTGGCCCACATCTACATTGAACAGAAACAATACGTGTCTGCCATACAGGTTCTTATAGTCAATTTTAATGTTTAAGTTATATATAATAAATATAAAAGTCATATTAAAGTTTATCTGGTCACGTTATCTCAGTTCTCATAGCGGTTCACTCTTAGCGGTAATAATATGTACAATTCATCTAACTGTTCACTCTCAGCGATAATATTATGTAAAATTCATCAAACTGTTCATTCTCAGCGGTAATATGTACAATTCATCGAACTGTTCACTTTCAGCGGTAATAAACAATTCATCTAACTGTTCACTTTCGTTTTTACACGATTAAAAGTTTATAAGCCTGAATTTAACAGTTGAATTAAACTACAATTTACAACTGCTTTCCATGTACAAGTAAAGCGCCTTTTCTCTCGAATCTATCTATTACTGGTGGTTAAGTGCCGGCTAGGTTCTCCGTGATTGTATGAAACCAGGTCACCGAAGAATAGAAAAAGAAGCTCGAAAGGCCTTAGACGAAGGAAGTGTCGTGGTACTAGTGGATGTGGGAGAAGAAATTCCACTTGAAGCAATAGCAGTGTTAAACAAAGGGCTAGGTTTTGTACCAACCCCAAAGGTTGACACGGAGGAGGCTCGTTTGGACATGCGCTTAACAATAAACAGAATCGTAACTGCCTCAACAAGAAGCCTCAACAGCTCACCTACAACATCATGTGAGGACCTATCAACGCTTGATTTGGAACAGACCGCCCCAACTGGACTACCTCCACAACTATCAAGGAAGTATTACGGTAGAAAGCCCCCAAGTGAGGACCAATCCATCAATGAGATTACAAACACCATGGCAGCGGACTTAGATCAGCAACTCATTAGAGGACCTAAAACTAATCTACAGCCTAAAAACCTCAACAAGATGGAGTCCCGTGGCCTCAAATGGTTAGAAAGAATGATCAAACATGAAAAACTTGCAATAGTTGCAGCTGACAAAGGTGGAGCCGTGTTACTAGTGGACCCAGCTATGCTAAAGCGAAGAACACAGGAAAAGCTCGACAACCCCCTATTGTATAAAAAGCTCGCTAAAGACCCTACGCAAGACCTACACCAGGAACTATTTGATTTATGGATCGAGGGAAAAAAGAAAAACTTTGTTACACCAAAAGAAGCTAAAGACATCATGGGTATTACCAACAATCTAAACATTGATGGTACAGTTACTAACAACAAGAGTACTTCTTCCCACTTCAAACCTGGTAAAGCTTATTTCTACCCCACCCTAAAGATCCACAAACTTCAAAAGGAAGACCTTAAACCAGGAGTCGAACCCCCCTTCAGGCTCATCACGGCACTCCAGGATGGAATCACAAAACGCAGTGATGTTTTCCTCGCTAGCCAATACCTGAAGGATCTTGAAAAAGATTTCTGCTCTGACCTTTTGACTGATAGCACTGATGCCCTTCAATGGTTGGATTTCGTGGATAGTGAACATTCCCCAGTACAGAAGAAAGGCTTCAGATCATTTACCTACGACTTTAAGGCCCTCTATGATTCTCTAACACCACCCCTCGTCATAGAGGCCCTGAATTCCGCTATGTCATCATGCAGAGAAGATTGGTCTGAAGATTTCTGCAAATGGCTCACCAAATTGGTGGAATTGAGCCTTCGATCCTCTGCTGGGGTGTTCGATCAAAATTGGTTCATACAGCTCATCGGTATCCCTACGGGTGGATCACTATGTGTCCAAATCGCAAACATAGCAGTCTACTACCTAATGAACAAATGTGTTTATAGTAACCCAGAGCTCATGAATAAGATCGTATCAGCCAGGCGTTACATTGACGACGGAGCAGGTTTGTTTGAGGGAACTACAGATGAGTTCAAAATTTGGATTGCAGATGTTAACAAAGCACTCCTCTCCCATGGCCTAATCATTGATGAATACCAAATAGAAGATCCTGGTAAATACGTATCTTTCCTTGACATAATGTTCACCTTCGATTCCTTAGGATCCCTCCAAACGGATTTGTTCATAAAACCAACAGACTCCCGTTCATATCTACATTTTAAAAGCTCCCACCCTAACCATATCTATTCCGGTATCGTGTACTCTCAATGCCTTAGACTCAGAAGGATCATCAACTGCCAAGAACGCCTGGAAGGACATCTCAACAACCTCAAAAAAGCCTTCCTTGCCGCATGTTACCCTAGAAAAATGATTGAGAACATCAGTAATAAGGTCCTCAACACAGCAAGATCACTGTCACGCAAAGTTCAGGCTCCGGATGACCAGACATCATTACATCTTCCAATCAGGGTCATATCTACTTATGGTAGTGATGATGATCTGGTGTCTGTGACTAAGAAGTATGAAGAACACCTCTCAAGAACGAGGAGTTTCAGTGAAAGTGACACTGCTGAAACATCCCAAGAGACCTCCTCAACATCCGCCATGCCTAGGAAGACAATTTTCAGTTACACAAAGAAAACAGGGCCAAGCCTAAAATCTCGCCTCGTCAAATTGAAAGAACTTGCTTTAGGAGCTCAACATGGCCCAACCAGCAAATGCAATGTGCCAAGATGCAAATGTTGTGAACTTGTCAAAGGCACCCGTGAATTCAAAGTGAACGGCAAGAAGGTTAAAGCTTCCCCTGGAAACTGCCAGAGCTCAATGAAACTAATAAATCAATGAAACTAATAAATCAATGTTTTAGCTCATTTTACAAAGTCAAATATTTAAAACAATTAAAATTGTATAGTGCTCAATTTGTAAATGACTAGTTGATCTTTGCTATTGGAAGTTTGTCAAGGACTGGCAGCTAGCGGGGCAAGGAATGCACGGGCTTAGGGGCTTTTGTGCACACCAGAACACTAGCTCGGTAGATTTTTGGAAACTAGAAGGACTGAAAACTAAAATTGTTTTTGATGGAGGCTGAGGCATGTTTTTGAGAGGGACGGTATAATAGCTTGTGGTAACAACTGGCCTTTACTTTAATAGGATGAAGTTTTAGTTTTAGGACAGGAAGAAGGCATTAAGAAGATTTGCTCTTTGTTTACAAGGCAGAATATAAGCAATGTTGGTTATAATATGTATCAATATCTAGATCTTCGTTTATCAATTTTCACTAAATGGGTTTAAAAATTTTAATAGGGAGGGAAATTCATCAACTTTATTAAGTACCTATCAAAAATAAATCTTATATCAATGTAATATATTAAAAATCATAATCCTAAGTCTAATAATAAATCTGTTAAAAACACTTTCTCACTACACTGCGCTCACACACGTTAGTAAGACAAAGGAAAATGCACACCCAGCTAATTTTCAATTTCAAGATAATCATTTTGGATGTGTGGACCCTAGGGTAGACTTAATGTCAAAATTTAGATTAGAGCATTCGAAATCTTTGTTTGTCCAATCAAGATCAGCATGGTTATGCTGGTTGACGAGCAGTGATTGCTTCATCCTAGACTTCAGGCAGGCCACACTTAGACAGTAGTCACGTATACCAAGCTTAGGCACAATTACGTTCCAAGTACGAGTCGTTCTGCTATTGAAGTTGTCAGGGGGGTCTGCTTGGCTTAGTATAAGGGTGGGTTTCCTACTTGAGCAGGTGAAATTTTCATGGAGGGAAATCGGAGCACGGAATTTCATGATTTTATAGAGCTCAAGGAAACAATGGTAAGTGTACAGGTTTTGGACGGCAAGTATTCCGTGTTCCTTGAACAAAGGTTTCGTGTGCTCTTTCAAGAAAAATTTTTTGTTCAGATTTTGGTTGCCAAACGGTCGAGCACGAGCACAGGTCTTAAATTTATCTAGGTATGCCTCCCTGTCGCCAAACAGTACCCTGAGACAATATTTTTGTGCTTTGAATACAGAACTTATACGAGTTTTGGCTGCCCCACCCCAAACCGTGATACAATAGGAGAGGTGTGATTCAAATAGAGTGTAATACAACTGGCGGTGTAAGAAATCTGGGAGGGAGCAGCGTAGGCGGCAGAGAGTTGATGTTGCATGGCTGAGAGAACGCCTAAGTGATTTTATATGTTCTTCCCAGGTTAGCTTTTCATCGATGACGACTCCCAGAAACTTAGCAGATGCAACTTGTTTTATTGGAAAGTTATCAATGGTTAGAGTATATTCAGAATTATTGTCAGTCTGGGAGGACGATGCTGGTTTAAAGTGAATGAAACAGCATTTAGACATGTTGACATGGAGTTTGTTTGCTCGCATGTAGGAATATAAACTAGCTAAAAGAGAATTACCACGCATGTATGCCTCCTTTTTAGATTTCCCAGTCACAAATACATTGGTGTCATCAGCGAAGGTGACAAATGATCCCAAACTGGAGCTGTTGGCGATATCATTAATATATAGGAGAAATAAGAGAGGTCCAAGAATCGAACCCTGAGGGACTCCAAACTGTATTTTCAAGGCGTCAGATTTCTCACCAACAACTTCAGTATATTGTGATCTATTTGTTAAGTAACTTTTTATAAGATCATTTGCCACCCCACGTATCCCATAGCCCTGTAATTTGACAAGTAATGTACCATGATCTATTGTATCAAAAGCTTTGCTAAGGTCTATGAATATGCCTAAGACATGATGCTTAAGTTTTAGAGATTCAGTTATAAGGTTTACTGAGTGATTAACTGCTACAGCATCAACAGCTACAACATCATTTATCTGTTCCAATGTAGTGTCTGTGGAAAGGCTTACGTCGGTCGCACAACTCGATCTCTACGGGTTAGGACTGGAGAACATAGGGTCAAATATTATAAACTTTTAAATGGTGATAAGGTAGATGAAACAAGTGATGAATATAGTTTGGGTTTACATTTGTTGGATCATGGTTTTAGACAAAGGGAAGATTTTAACAAAATTTTTAATGTGTCAATTATTGATAATTCTAGTCCTAAAACTTTGGATGTCCGTGAACATAAATATATTCAACTACTCAAGACTTTAAAACCTTTGGGAATTAACACTATAAATCCTTTTGGCCTTCCATTACTCCTAACATCTTAATTTTAACTTTATAACCGTTTTAAGAGTG